GACGTGGGGACGTGGGTGGCAGGGCGAGAGAGGTGGTGCTGGAGCGCGCAACGCTTTCGGTGTCGGTGGGCTGGTGGGAGTCGGTCTGGTGGGCGTCGGGCTTTGGGTTGAAGACGCTGCGGCGGCGGAGGAGTAAAGGCATGGCCGGCACGCGCAACTACATCTACAGAGTTGGCAATATTATGCGGTGGTGGTGATGGTACGGCTGACGGTGGTAGAGGGATGTTCAGAGGGTAGCGATGGTCGTGGGAGCCATGGCACGGCACGCGAGACAGCGCAGGCAGCACATGGGTAGGCGGGGATGCACGAGGGGGTGAGACAGGAGTGGTAGAGGGAGTGTTTGGTGGCGGGTTTGAAATGAAGTTGACGTTGACGTTGACGGTGGTAGTGAGTAGTGAAGGAGGCCCAGACCACATGTCATTCATTCTAAGTTGGGTTCCTTGGTTGTTGGCTAACTAACGTACTGTAAGGCTGAAGCTACCACCACCTGAGACGCGCGGAAACAAACTAAAAATTAATTAATCGGAACGAATCACTACCAGTGTCGCCCATATGTGTCCCTGTGTTGCCTCAGCCTGTCAGCCTGTCTGTACCCCAAGAGCGAAGTGAGCAGCAGCCTCCGTGAAGACGTGCGGGTCCGATTGATTACTTCACTCTTATGATGATATGACTGCCTGGCTGATTCACGTATACCTACAGTGCTACGCGTCATGATCTATCTATTGAATCTATTCTTTCTTCGCGTTATGCTTGAACCTGGAAATGTCAAGGTCAAGATCACTTTGTGCTTTCTTCCCCTTGTGTCCCTGATCGTCCTCTCCTCCGGAGGCTAGTCCAAACTCTACCCCCCGGCACTTTCAAATCCGAAATCCCTTCGCCCGTTCCACCGCATCTCTCGGGGGACAAATCAATTGGGACGTATTCGAGAGATGCTGGCAGTACTTTGTCCTAGTTTATTTGTCTCCTGGAAGTGCATGAATACCTGACCTCCGCCATGTCTTCCTGTTCCTGTCCTAGGCCTAGGTACTTGTACCCAACACACATCTAACGTCAGCTCAAGAATGACATCCACACACTCTTATGGTACACCAACACATAGCCCTAGGTCTTGACATTACAGCCCAACTCGATCTACAGTTACTACGCTACCTTACAGTATCCAGCTCCGCCCCATCATGAACGGATCTTCTCATCGCCTTACCCAACACACACATTCCGTCAGCTGAAGAATGACACCGATATACTTTCACGATACACCAAGATCGCGGTTTCAGGTCTTCACGTAGGCTATCAGGATCCCAAATACCGCCACTATTCCCGGGTGGCAAGGCACGCTCGCAGTCCTCACTTCCATCATGGTTGAATCCTCTCATCATCCCGTTCGCTACGGTCCCAGCTAGCATACCTCTCACTGGCAGGTCGAGGCCATTCTGTCTCCTCGTGTGCAGTAAGAGTCGCAGCCCAACTCGATCTAGGGCTACATCCGACTCCGGCTCATCATAATCGGATCTTCTCATCGCCTTATCAAAGATCCTTCCACTCAGCATCTCCTTTGGGCAATTGGATGCCTTGTTGTTCTCTTGTGTGCATGGGTGACTGGCGACCGACACTCCATCTCATCATAATGCTCAGGCATGTCCTTCGTAGACAACCTCGTCACCATCCTCAAAGCCAAGCTAAGATACAAACATTAGTCGATCGCCCAAAATGTCTTGTCGTCACAAACACATCACTGACCTGTGCCAAAGTTTTGTTGTAGTCTGCCTCAAAGATCCTGCGCCCCTTGTGGTTGAATGTCCGCCCACCGAACGGGCGCCTGGTGTTAGCGGTCTTCAGGGCCAACATTGCGAGCTCGAGGAACGTCTTCGAAAGTCGTTTGGCTGCGAAGCTCGGGGCTCCTAATTTCGACGTCCATTGTTTCCTGAACGTGATCTCCACCAAGCTCTCGTTGCCCTTGCTGGGCAGCACTTTCTGTTTCTTGAGATTCGTGTTCGCCCATTCAGCCTTCAGCGCCCGGTCGCTGTTGATGGCGCTCGATTTCCGACTCTCGTCCAGCTGCCATTTCGTCTCGTCCAAGTTGATTTCCAAGGCGGCGGTCGACTTCTGGCTCTCCGCCAATTGCTCTCTTGCCTCGTCCAGTCCA